CGGCTATTTTTTGGTTGCAGCCGTCATTGTTGTTTGGCGGGTCCGGGCTGGGGATTCGAACCCGCCACCTTAGGTGTACGTGGCTGGCACCTTAGCCGGTTGAGCTATAGGCGCCGAGCCCATGGGCACTTTCTTAAAGTATCCCTACCACTTTTGCTTAGCCAAAATGTCTTCTCTGATTAGAACTGGTCATTTATCGGCTCCTCTGAGCAATATAATTATCAATGAGACCAGCTGAGAAGGGGCCAGACGTAACTAATACAGAAGGAGCCTTGTGGAAGACACGTCAGAGGTAGGTGCCCACAGCATCACCACACCTCTTTTGGGTGCATTTCATATTCTGTGTCAATGTGACCTGGGAAGGGCGGGTTGAGAAAGCAGAAGGTGTGAAGTCAGCAGACCTCACTTTACACTTCAGGTCAGTTGGTTGAACTGCAGCTGATTATCCTATATCACTAGTTACTGGAGGATTGACGAGGGTAAATATCTTAAGCTCTCTGAGCTTCACTTTTCCCACAGAAGTGGAAACACTAATGCCTACCTCAAAGAATGTTCACTGGGTTAAAAATCACATAAAATGTACTAAGGCATTTGCAACCGGTAAAGTGCTATAAAATGCTAATTGCAGTTAACCTCTATCTCATCTGTCAACCTATGTCAGGGATAAAATGAGCGACTTTTACTTTATAAGGTATGAAGTTACTTTTCAGCAAAAGATCCTGGCTCAAAAACAGACTACTACATAATCTAATTCATGGACTATATATTTGAAAACATCCTCCAAAGATGGATAGATGTATCTGTTCATTTTTATTTTCATATACTATATAGTGATGTATAGTATACACGAGAATTGTATACAGATTTTCAAGGCAACTACATTAAACCTTAACTACTTTAAATATCTTCAATATGTTTCAAACTATGTTAGGTTCTTATACCTTACATAGTACATCATCAGTGGTGTTGAATATTTCTCACCTGCAATACTAAAATAAAATATTTCCCATGCAATTTATAGAAATTATTCAGAGTCCGATATGAACTACATAAGAAACAAATCAAACCCAAGAAAATGAAAGAAAACCTGACTAGCTGTTGGTCGCTTCTTCGGGTCCCACTGCAGCATGTCTCTCAGGAGCTGAATTGCCTCGCTGCTGGCATTGGGAATCAGAGTCTTTAAGTTATTGGGTACACACTGGGGCCAGCGGAAGTTCATAGCATTTGACAGTTGATAGCCTTCAGGCCAGTCAGTCTGAAAAAGGAAATGACAGAAAATCTTGTTCAACCAACTGCTGGGACATGACTTTGTACTTTAACATGTCTGCCTAAAATGGAAAGGCAATCATGGCGAGTGCCCCACCCACATTCACCGTGGGGACTGTGGACTGAGACACAGGATGTGTCAATGAAGAGACTGAAAAGGACAGGAAGGATGGTACCTGTGGCTCAGTGGTTGGGCGCCGGCCCCATATAGCGAGGGTGGCGGGTTCAAACCCAGCCCCGGCCAAACTGCAACCAAAAAATAGCCAGGTATTGTGTTGGGCGTCTGTAGTCCCAGCTACTCAGGAGGCTGAGGCAAGAGAATTGCCTAAGCCCAGGAGTTGGAGGTTGCT